GCGTTGTTGACTGCGCTGCACCACTTGGTGCAACGTGTATGGATTGAGGAGTAGGTGCCTCCTGAGCTGAAGGATTCCCTTGTGCTACCACTGTACAAGGGTAAAGGTAGCAAGCAATGTTGCACGAATTATCGTGGCATCAACTTGCTGAGTTGTGTGGGCAAGGTGATTGCCCGAATCCTGCTCAATCGCCTCGTGAGTCAGATTGTGGAACCTAACGTGGCGGAAGAGCAATGTGGATTCCGTTCGGGTCGCAGCACTATAGATATGGTGTTTGCGGCTCGTCAGTTGCAAGAGAAGTGCAGAGAACGACACCAGCCATTGTACTCGCTTTTTGTTGATTTCACCAAGGCATTTGATACGGTGAACCGCGAGGCATTGTGGCTGGTGTTGGGTAAGTTTGGTTGCCCGCGTAAGTTTGTAAGTTTAATTGAATGTCTGCACAGTGGTATGCGAGCGAGGGTGCAGCTGAGTGGAGAGACCTCGGATGACTTTGCAGTTGTCTCTGGTGTGAAGCAAGGCTGTGTGTTAGCTCCTGCCCTGTTTAATATCTATCTTCATGCAATGTTGTCTTGTGCTTTTGATGCGGCTTGTGCTTACGGTGTTCGTGTGGAGCACCGTATTGATGGTGGGTTGCTGAACATCCGTCGTTTCGGTGCGAGAACTCTAGTCTGTGAGACAACTATCCGTATGTTGCTGTTTGCTGACGACTGTGCGTTGTTTTCACACAGCGCGGATGAGTTGCAGCACATGACTAGTGCTCTGGCTTCGACAGCGGCCAAATTCGGGCTCACCATCAACACAAGCAAAACTGTCTGTCTCTTTCAGCCTTCACCGGAGGTGCAATCTTCAATATTGCCGCGAATCAGCATTGGTGCTGAAGTATTGGAAACCACCTCCCGTTTCAGCTACCTTGGGAGTGTGATATCGACTGATCAGCAGCTACACGTTGAGTTGCGTATTCGCGTGTCGAAGGCAGCAGCGGCATTCGGGAAGCTAGAGTACCGAGTGTGGAACAACCATCAGCTTACCATTGGCACGAAGCTGATGGTGTACAAATCCATGGTACTGTCCGTTCTTCTATACGGCAGTGAAACGTGGACGATGTACCGTCGGGATGTGCGATATCTCGAGCGGTTCCATCAGCAGTGTCTGCGACGAATTTTGCGGATCGGTTGGGGCGCCAGAGTTGCAGACACGGAAGTGTTGCGCCGAAGTGGGATGTATGCAGTGGACTGCATACTTTTACTGAGACACCTGAGATGGCTCGGTCATGTGAGCCGTATGGATTCGACGCGGATACCGAAACAACTTTTATACGGTCAGCTGAGTATAGGGAAGCGGCACGTGTGGAAACCAAAGTTACGTTACCAGGACATGATTAAAGTGAGCCTCACACGTTCTAATCTTGATTGCAGATCATGGGAATCGAAGGCGGTTGATCGTGGTGCATGGCGCGATCTAATCACGAAGGCAGTTGCTGAAGTGCGGGAGAAAGCCCTCATGCATGCAGAGAAGAAGCGGCAAGTGCGGAAGCAGCAAGCACCAATGAATTGTACTCCATCGACATCGAGCGCATTGTGCTGTAGAACATGCGGTCGCGAGTGCCTTAGTCAGGCAGGCCTAGTGAGCCATGAGAGAGGTCACTCGGGACCACTGCCGAAGCGCGGGTCCAGCAGTGAACGTATGCAGCACCGGCGCAGCGTTTGTAGGCACGCTGAATTCGATTTACTAACCGCGTGCTTGCATGCTAAGTCTCTTTATTTCAGGTGGTGGGTTTACAGTTTGTGCCTTAATGCTTTTCTTTCTCATATAAATGTCTACCAGTACTCTATTCCATTAACTTGCACACCTCTCCTAAGCCAACTGTATTCGATTTCCGTAGCATATTTGTGTTCGTGGCATTCCGTGAACTATATTTCCTGACCTCGTGCACTTATCTAGGATTTGTTTGTAAACAACTTATTACATATGCTATTTAATTAAGGTTTATATCACCGTTTCCTTATGCATTAATCGTTTTTCTCTTTTTCTTTCTCTTTCTCTCTCTCTCTCAAGTGTTTGGCTGTTGCTTGATATCCCCAGTGTGGCTGCGCTTGATGTGCATGTTGACAAGGTGTCTACCTGTCTATTACCCACTACCTCGTCCATACTGGCTCCAGGAGACAGTTGGTCGTTGCTGGAGGGGACGGGGTGCACGGTCCTTGTGGCCGTGTTAGGCCCGAAGAGTGGTTCCATGCAGTCAGTGTGGAGCGGACTACGGTCCAGCCACCGCCTTGTGTGCGGTTGATTTCCCAAATACAGCGTGCTTGTGTTTGCCTGGGAAGGAGTGTGGGGCGGCTCCGTTGATGAAACGTGGTTCCCATCCGCATGCCTCCCGGTCTTATTCCTTCGGCTTTACACTGGATATGGGGTGTGTGATTGGGGCTGTGGGTGGTGCACCGCAAAGCATCCATGGTCCCTCTGTAGGCACAGACGTCCTGTGGCTTGCCACAGTGACAGGCAAATCCGAAACCGGATGCCGCCAACCATGTTATGGTCTTTTTGCTGACGTAAATATTCACCGCTGTACAATCTCAAGGACTGCATTCTGCGTTGGTAAGGATGGCACAACGCTCTAATGAGTTTGGTTGCTCTGCGTTGTGGCGCTTCAAGTATATCTACATCGCGCTTGCGCCAAGGACGCCAGGCCATTATCGCATATTCCACGTGAGGCCTCCGGTAGGCCTTAATGTCTTAACAAGTGGCGTTTTCTAACATGGACTTCAAGGGAGCTGTTCAACGGAGAGTTGCACCACAAATGTGTGAGACAAGCAGAAACACTGGTTAGTGCACAGATGAATGGGTTTCATGCATGATCATTCACATCATTGTTCCAGTCATATGGGGTCACTCATAGTATGTTGTCACATGTAGCATTCACGAGCCGGCTCACGCTAGTGTTCAAACATTATGAGTTCATAGACAACATGACATGTGGTTTCATACTTAAATTATGTCACTACTTATAGTGTTCCTTGCACTTTACCGAGCAACTTCGGGTATAGTCAGTGAGCGGGATGCGGCCCTGTGGGCCGTACTATAGTGACACTTGCTCCAGATCATGCATTGCAAAAAAACTGAATAAAATTATACGGTGGTTAAAAACAAAACAGCAACAAGTAGTGAATCACAAACTGCTGGAACAAGCTCCCCAAGCTGAAAATTTAGAATGGCGGATGGCATGTTCCAAGCTGGGGTCACCAGTTGTCTAGTGTCCTTCGGATATTAGTCGCTAGTGTTGAGACGTAAGAGGCGTGCTCAATACAGAACAGTAGAGAAGGTAGTGGCAGCTGAATCCAACATATATTGAACAGGCTAAAGGTATGGAGAACGAAGCATAACGTGCCAGGAACTACAAGGCGCGCAAATCACCGAGGAGAAAATGTTCTGGGCTTTACAGTCAGTAAAACAAATTTACAGTCGGGAGGTTCAGACAATAGTAAAATCTAGTGTCCTGAAATACTGAAAGACTATGTTTTCAGGTTCACTGCACGTGTCAGCGTCTACGGTGATTTGTCTGACGTCTTTCCGACAACAAGTGGCTTTCATCAGGGCTGCCCAATTCCCCCATTTTTGTTCAACTTCGTTGTAGACTCCCTTGCGGAGCCTCACGATGCAGGTGTTGAGGTGCTGTCTGGTGAAAAGCTAGTTGGTTTTGATTATGTACACGATATTGTTCTGCTTTTTAACGATGTTGGGCGACAACATCAGTCCTGAATAGCCGCTCTAGTATAGTCCAATCAGTTGGAATGCGATTCGCACCTTCAAAGTGAAAAGTTTTGTTAAAGGACCACCAGCTACTTGACGACCCATAGACCGTTGATGGCTAGGAACTCATGATAGTTGATCATTTCACCTACCTTGGTAGCTGTATCAGCAACGATGGGTACCTAGCAGCTGATATCAGTTCACGTATTGCAAAAGCTAGTAATGCCTTTTTTGTACCTGTGACATCTTTGGCGCCAGAAAGGGGTTTCCCTCCGTCTAAAATGCCGTTTATACAAGGCCACAGTGATAGCCGTCCTACTCTATGTGAGCAAAACTTGGCCCCTTCAAATTAAAGGCCCGCGGCGCCTTCAAGTCTTTGAACATCGTTCTCAGCGAAATATTGCTAGTGTCGGATGGCACCAGCGTGTCAACAACAATAATGTGCATAAGCGAGTGTTAGGCAGTGGTAACCAGGCGATTACCTTAGAACAACAGATACCACTGAATAACTTGCGTTGGCTTGGGTACTACTACGTATGCCTGGTTGCCCCTTACCGGGGAGGGCCTTGTTTTGTCTGCCGGATGTAGGGTTGTGCAAGACAAGCGGTGATCAACTATTAACTGGGCAGCGAAAAATGAGGTCACTGACAACCAAACTCGGTGCCGTCGGTCCGTCTCGCCTTCCAGGCTGCCATGCACGTAATTCGCCATGTGTTTGGCTTAAGACGTTACAGAACACGGTTAGCAGTAGACATCATTGGGACGTCTACCGTCGTCTCCTAATCGGTTTGCTTGTTTAATGTGTGTTTGGTGCTGAATTGTCTGCGGGGTAATGACTGATTATGACGCAAGACAGTGAAAGCCGCAAGAAAACTGTCTCGCCGATACCGCTTTATCTCTGCACGTTAGCCAGCTGTTTGTGATAACGTTGTTAACCCTGAATGTTTGCCTAGGGCATTAAGGTTTTATCACAGGTCCCCCTACTCTCTACCTCTTATTGATCTTCTTTCCGTAGGCCACTGTGGTTGTATGGCAGCGATGCATCAGTTCAAGTGGCTGATGCACTGCTGTTGATGATGATGAGCTGGAGGTCCAAGTACCTAAGACGCTTTTGACCCCGGACTTTGGAAGGTATGAATACATGCGAAAGTGGTAAAAACGATTGCAACGACCTATTTGTTTCAAGTGTTTTTCTTTTTTGGTCTCGTTTCCCCCATGTTCATTGAGTTATATTTCCTCCTTTCTCTCAGGCGTGTGGAAAGCTACCAAACCAACTCCATCGGATCAGCTGTAATCCACAGATGACCTGGGCAGTGGTGTTCACTTGGTCTCTATCAAAGTTTCTATTTATCTCTCAACCCAGTTAAAACCATTTCTTTTCTTTCGGTTTTGAGATACTCATGAAAACACTTGTACTTCCGTACAGGCCTCTTTTTATCAGTTTGCCACCACTCATAAATCCTACGCCATTTTTCTCCGTTCCTCATTGTGAACCCACATTCATACTGCCGGAATAAGCGTCAGGTCTCCCACTGCGCATCTGTTATACGCTAAAAATCTCCTCCAATCCTGGCTGCACGCTCACGAAGCGAAATCCCACCAGGGCTTTTCTTCACAAGCCTAGGAGTAATTGCCCTCGCTTGATACAACGCCTGTTATTCATCTAAAGTTCTTCGGGTAACGCCCTTGGAGCAACTTTTTCCAATGTTATCCTTCACAACAGTGTGTAGGCCATGATCTCTACCCGTTACTCTAACTTTCAGCTCTCCGCGTTTTCATTCCGCAACTGCTTAAACTAGGTGTCACTTTGTTCGATCGATTCGAGCATAATAACGAGTTTTCATCCAACTTTTTGCTAGTGGTCTCCGGTCAAATTACGTCTGTAGTGAGCCTTTGGTTTCGTCCTCGCATGCAGCAACCAATCTGAGAAGCTTCAACACGTAATTTATCGCCGTTCCCATCCCCTAGCATATCACAACGATACTGCACCTTAATTGCTGTGGTGGTTTGCGTACCTCAGTAATCTGTTGGAATACACCTAATGTTACTTTCTAAGTACCTTCAGAATCACTCCTACCAGAAAGTTACGTGGTTACTGTCAGACTAAATCACCCTCAGTGTGTTGATCATCGTAGCTTTGAAGTAGGTTGGTGGTCCTTTTCCTCCACAACTGGGCCATGGGCAATACTTCTGTTGATTGTAATCGCAGATCCCTCGATGTACAGCACGCACGCCACAACTTGTTACTGCCGGTGGGAGAGCACCACTCTCAGTCGGTTGCAGCCGCCCATCTCACACCAGATGTTCGCTAGTCAATAATGTGCAAACTTACTGGCTCCAACGCGCGATTGGTCAAGGCCACAGGTGCGTAGTCCACGACGGTCCAAATCATACTTGAATTGTTCCTTCTAAAGTTTCCTGCATCTAAATGAAAGATGTTAATTGATGTTCTGCAGCCACCACCCCAAGGTGAACGTCCTTTCCATTTCCTCACATCAAAACACCTCGAACATCTTGTCTCAGGATGGGCAACCGGAGAGCATCTGCTAACAATACATCATAACGAGCGGCCTCTTTGCTTTTCCCTTTCAACAACTCCCTCTCTTGTTCGCCAAAAATTCCACTCAGTATTTAGTATGCTAAACTTACCAAGAATCCGTCTTATCTTGGAAACTGATAGTGATTACATCTTGGGTCTGTCCACGTCTGCACACCGCATCAGCTATGTCAACCGACGGCTCGTTATGACTGAACACATTTTTGCAGCTGATATTCATGTGTTTGGAACATTCACGTGGGGTGTGGTCCCCTGTTATTGCTCGCCTGCATAACGCACCTACTAGGCTTCATTGGAAAGACAATAACATCGCGACGAACGGCACCGTCAAGTCGAATTGGATTATCAGCTTTTGTCAATGTGCGAGATGAATAAACCGAATACCGATTGGGACCATCTCAAAAAGTCACCTGTCTGGTAATTTCAAGCGTCCGAAGATAATTTATGTCTTGGCTCGTTTTACTAAAGCACTTATAGTCAGCTTCATTGTCGGCGACAGTTTGAAGCGACATCAAACCATTATTCTTAGGAACGATGATCAATGGGCTGTTTACATTGACCGTTCCTACTGTTCTCGTAACATCACTTTTTGCATCATCCACTTCGAAGGTATAAACTTTTTTGTGAACATTTTGACGAATTCTTTGGCAGCACTTTTCAATATCACTGAGGCCGCTCAACTCCACCGATTCTTTTGTGACACGGCGGAAACCACACCGGATTTTTAAGTGAATCTCTGCGCTTAATGTATGTTTATTTTCTACTAATTACCTTCGGTGAACCAAGGCGTCGTTGGACTTTTCAATTTTTATACCTCGTTTGGCCCGCTTATAATGCGCACTGGTTTGTGTGAACCCGTTTGTGGGACATGATAATTTTGGCGGTGGTCGAACAAACGTACCTGTTCGATGTCCGTCCGTTCTCTGTGTCGCGCGTTCACTACTACGACTCAAACGACTGTCCGGTGGCTACGAATGTTCCTCCTGGTGTTCATCTGTCGTGATTAATCGGGTGCCTAACCCACATCCGTAATCCTATCGAACAATTAGGTTACACTGAGAAATTATCCGGGTCATCACGCATAACTTGCAATTTGCTACTTTCATTCACATGGAACGAACTGTCAGGAAACGTTTTAGGAAAACTTGACGTCGTCAACCAGATAAGGAATCTTATAGTTCTTTCATTCAATATCCAATCGCTGCTCAATGACGCAGAACTGTTTACTCAGGTGCCATCTGTGCACTCTCCCCATTCGGTGTTTATACTTGTAAAAATCTCATATTTACTGATGCTGTTTTATCACATATGTGGCAGGTAGTGTAAAATGCTGTAACTTCACTCACACGGGTGCGTGAAGCTTATCTTGTCTTGCAGTACTTGATAGGTTCGGGAAATATCAGGATTGGTGCCACAAAATGGGAAAAGAAAACTTAATGATGAAGTAAAGAGCGTCTTGGCCAATCTATCTTTGTGCTCACACCGAGACAAGCGTGGAATAGGCTACCTCGATTGTGTTGGGAAAAACCAGTTGATGCACTTTTTATCAAGTTAAGTTGTCTTCCGATCTACTCTGGCTATATTTTTTAATGTATTCGGTTCAGAACGACGACAAGGCTTTTGTACATGAGCAATGTGAAGGCATAAACGACGTTCTTAGGTAAGGAATTCCATGGATACCACACAAGAAAAGAGAGTGAGAATAGTTCCGGCGGTTTCTGTATGGCGCTGCCAGCTTAGGCTGGTGGCTGTTACACCCAAATGAAATCCGAACAGCAACATAGTGGTGGGAAAAGTTTAGTAGAGTACAGTCTGGCATGGCGACCAGTCAAAATATCCCAATGATTTTCCTATATTTTCTCATTGGCCTTAACCTGTCTATGGCGTCCACCAGTCTAACGCAACCGAGACCACGTACCTACTCAAGGCGACCACCACTAGCATCACTGACCGAGATTGTAGGTAGATGTGTCATGAAAGTTTGACAACCTATCGCAAGGATAGCTTAGATTTTGTTTCCATGTGTCGTAATCGCTTTAGAAAACACACCATATGCCTTGCACTGGTTCCTTATCGCCTAGATTCACGCATCTAGTGTCTCCTTATTCGAATCCTCATAGGCTTGTTAATACCCACGTCTGTCGCAATTGACCAATTTACGTTGCACGTACTCCTAGCGCCACATGATTTATTCTCACCCAGAGGGTCACACTGCCTTCACACCAGACTTGTCCATGACACATTAACCCTGGATCTCACCCTATGTAACTAACTGCCTGTTATCTTCGCTATAACTGTGCAGTGTACCAACCGGATAGAGCCATGTTACACAACACAAGAGCTGTGGGACTCCCCTCGTGCACTCTGAGTTTCGTGCTACCGTTGTACAGTCACAAGTACTGATGCTATCACTTTCTGTGTTTATTTGTTTACTGTGTAACCAGTCGGTTATCAGCACTGAGTAGGCACTGTTAAGATACGTCCTTACTGAATTTTACGGAGATGAGACAGCTGACTACGATGGTGCATACTAGCAGGCTGCAGCCTAAGGACATGGCACGATTTCGTGACGTCTGTCTGGATGACACGGGTTGCTACCCGACCGACGGTAACACGGCTGAGCCACACCGGAAGCTGATGAAAGCAAATCGCCATCATCGCATGGTTGCTGTGAGGCGGACGTGATCGTACCTACGGTCGAATCTGTCCGGACAAGAGATGTGGGTCACCTCAGTGATAGCGTCGAGGTAAGCGCATGTGATCTATAAAAATAACCATGTTTGGTGCCTAATATATTTCGGTCTAACAGGCTCGGTGTATTCATTTGCCCGGGCTGGGTTAGCGTGGCAGAGAGCAGAGGGAAAAGCAGCGTTACAATCTTGAATATTCATGTTCGTTTTTGTAGTGCTTTTTGAAGATTCATACGAAGGACAAAATGGCTAGTTCCAAATCAGCAAAGTCAAAGGCATTAACGATTGAAAAAACAATATCAGTGATTCGACAGTCAAAAAGGAAACAATCAAGAACATTGGCGGAAACTTTTATAGTAGGGAAGACACAAATCCTTCTAACTTTAAAGAGGGAAGCCAAGTTTTTCAATGACTGGGAATAACACGCCAAGACTGAAAAGAAAGAATGGTAGAACAAAGAGTAATGTAGACATAAGCGCACTTTGCTGTAAATGATCCCAGTAAGCACAGGTAAGAAAAATCCCATTATCTGCACCCACGATTCAAGAACGAGCATTGCACCTCACAAAAGAATTACAAAACTCAGACTTTAAAGCGTCAAACGGTTGGCTGCAGGCTTTCATCAGTAGACACAACCTTGTGTTTGGTAAGCAATCGGGCGAAAGCGGTGACTCAGGTATTTGTGCTGCATCCGATTTGACAGCAAAATTATCCGCAATATCTTCGGACTACCCAGCTCAATTTTAATTTATATGAAACTGTTTTTTTATTCAAAGCGAAGTAGGATCAAACATATTTTGTCATAGCAAAATGCACAGGTGGGAAAAGAAGCAAGAAGCGTGTCACATTTATGCTGTACATTATGTTGGAGGAATGAGAAACGGCTTTTGGGGATTGGGAACCCAGCCAACGCTCGAATTTTTAGAAACATGGATATAAAAAAACTACTGGCAATTTACCAGAATAGTAAAAAGGCATAGATGACTGCAGCTATTTTCGAAGTTTGACTTCAAAGTTTTGACAGAATAGTGGTCGTAACGTCATACTGTTTGTTGACAATGCTGCTTCCCATCCCGAATTCCAGCTACTTAATGTCAAGTTGCAGTTCTTGCCACCAACTACTGCGTTAATTCAACCCTTCGATCAGGGTGTCATTGAGGAGCCCAAGTTAAAACTTAGTGAAAAACAGCTTATGCATCTTATTACGATCATGTTCGGAGCTGAACTCATGAAATGAGTAAATTTATGGGATGTCGTGTGCTGGATAGCTGTCGCATGGAAGGAGGTGGAGAACTCGAGAAGCAGCTCCGCCGAGCGGTCCCAAAAAAACTGTCCTCCTGCGTAATTTCCTCTAAATCTTTGGATTTATTCTAACAGAGACTTACGTGTTATCATTTGATTTGGCTCCGCGATCTCCTCCTACCACTGTTCATCTATTGGATCTACCATTCACTGATCACCAGCAAACTGTGCTCTTGCAACTTCGAAGACAACCATATTTGAACCTTATCGGAGGATTTATTTTTCCTCTCGTAGCACAAGAACTCTTGTGGTATTATTTTGAAGATCTTGAGAGTCACCTGATCAGCT